GGCCACATAGGCGCTTCCACAAAGGCAGGGGGCGGCGGTGACTCGCCGTAGGCGTCTTCGATCCGCTGCCCCCTGTGGTCTTGCCACAAGGGGTGTCCAGCATGCCAAACCCTATACGGTTTGGTGTTGGTTCTATTTCCCCGAAAAACTCCCCCTGGGGCGTCGGCCCGTCCCGCCGGCCACCCGGAAGGGACCAAAAACAACCTCAACGTGCCCAAAACATTCTCCTAGACGGCCCAAGATGGCCTCCAAGACAGCCAAGATGGCCTCCAGATTCGCCCAAGATGGTCCAAGATGGCCTCCAAGACGACCCAAGTCCAAGATGCCTCCAAGTTTGCCTCAAAGCCTCCAAGACGGCCAAAACTGGCTCCAGGACGGCCCAAGACGCTCCGAGACGCCCCTAGAGGCCTCCAAGACGGCCCAAGATGCCTCCAAAAGGTCCTCCAGGAAGGCCCGACGAGGCCAAAATCATTGAGGTCCCATAGGTTTTTTTAGGATATGGAAGTTTCTTCTTTTCGGCCTTCCGACTGCCATCTGATGGCCCAAGTGCCAAGATGGCCCCAGAACGGCCCAAGAGGCCCCAAAGACTGCCCCAAGAGGGCCCCAAGACGCCTCCAAGACGCCCAAGATGGCCCCCAAGACGCCCCTGGAGCACGCATAGAGGGCCCCAAGTTGGCCCAGAGAGGCCCCCAAGACGGCTTCCGACGGCGCCAGACGGGCCAGGAGGCCATCAAGACGGCCCAAGATGGCTCTTAAGTGCCCAAGACGGCCCAAGAGGCCCCCAAGAGGTCTCCAAGACGGCCCAAGAGGCCTCCAACAGAGCCTCCAGGATGGCCCGAAGAGACCAAAACCTTTGATTTTCGATTGGTGTTTGAAAGATTTGGGAATTTGCTTCTGTCCGGCCTTCCGATGGCCCGAGACGGCCCAAGAGCCCCCAAAGATCGGCCCAAGATTACCCAAGAGGCCTCCAAGATGGCCTCAGAACGGGCCAAGAAGCCCCCAAGACGGCCCAAGAGGCCTCCAAGACGCCCAATATGGCCATGATCAACGTACCATAAATGGCGTTTTGGAAGGATTCTGGATTATGCAGGCGCGACAGTTATGTTGATTCGCTGTGTTGAAGTCCCAAAAATGGCGTTCTGGCACGATTCTGGATCGTCCAGACGCAGCAGTCAGGTTGATACGTGGCGTTGAAATCCCGAGAACAATGTTTTGGCACGCTTCAGGATATTCAAACTGTTGTCTCCCAACGAGGCAGTTCCTTCAATGGAAATGAACCGTTGTAGGGACCTGTGAAGAGGGAGCTTGGAGGGAGGCTACTCCAACATCGTTGGTGACTCTTGGGTTTCCACTGGTCCTCCTCCTCCTCCTCCTCCTCCTCCTCCTCCTCCTCCTCCTCCTCTGCCTGCGCCTGCGCCTGCGCCTGCGCCTGCGCCTGCCTCTCTCGCCCCTGTAGCCGCCGTCCCAGGTCAGAGGCAGTTCCAACAAACAGGGTGCTGACGCTGGCCACCGCCACCGGGACAGCTGCCATGCGCGTCGCCCCCGCCCAGGGCCTTCTGGCAGGCGTGGGCGGCCGCGCGCCACGCAGACTTTTCTGGCGGGCGCCACGGCTCCTTCGCGCGGCTGGGCGAAGGCTCGGTCATGCTGCACGCGTACGCCGGCCGCCGTGCCGAGAGAGACGCAGTCCTCGGTAGGTAGACAGCATGCAGGCGATTCAGCCCTCGAGGCTCCCGCTGCAGCCGCTCCTGCTCCCGGCTCGCCCTTGGACCAGAGGTCCGCCCGTGTCGGAGGGCAAGCCGACGGCCGAGGGGATGCGTCGCCCCGTGCTGGACTGGGGTGCCGCCCTGCGCAGCTACTGGCCGCGCGTGGCTCTGGACCGTGCTGCAGCTGGACGCCCCCGCTCTGGGCCTCCCCGCGGAGGCCGGGCCTCTGGGGCTGCTTGCGGCGGCGCCCTTCGTGCCCTGCGCGGCGCACGAGGCGGCGACCCCGCCGTTCGCGGAAGGGCGCAGGGGCCTTAACATGGGGCTTCTGGCGCCATTGCCGGCTTCGACGCCGTCTTGGACTGCACCGCCGACGTCTCCTCCATGTTCGCTCCATCTTCCACGCCACGCCGAAGCAGTCCTCGATGGACGGCGTGATGCCGCGCCCTGCCGAGACGCAGTCCTCGGTCGACGGCGTGATGGGCTCCAAGGGGCCGGTCGAAGTCAGCGTCCAACTCCCGCCGAGGGCGTCACCGGAACCACTATGGCAACGGATTGCGCCTGCCAGGTGTGCGGCCCCCAGCGAGCGTTGCCATTCGGCGCGCTGCCGCCGCTGCGTGCGCGGCCGCCGCCAGCACGCGGCGTCCGTCGAAGCGCCGAGGCGGAGCATTGAGCGTCTGCAGTGTTCATTCGTAAACGCTTTGCGAGTAGTGGACTTCAAGGTTGCTTAACGCCATGGTGGTCTCCCTACGTGCGCCGCCCTCGATTCAGTGCGCAGATAATGGCGTCGGTTCTCCGCCGCCGTCTCGTCGTGCGTCCAAGGTTGGGGCCCGAAGATAGCCTGGCTTTCCTTCTCAAAAAGACAAACTGTTGTGCTTCATGCCGTAGAGCTGACTTGCAAGGAGCTGAAACGTGCAGGAGGCGTTAGGTATGCGTCCCAGTCCTTACCCTCCATATCCCTTCTGCCCTCCTCACGAGACAGGAGGGTTTAGTTCTGCGTCCCAGTCTCACTCTCGCCTTCTCAATACATCTTCCTCCCTCCCTCCCTCCCCCTCCCGAGTGACCGAGTGCCAATGACACTGTAATCGATCCTTATACGACCCGTTGCCTGCCCAGCTGCTTGAGGAGAGGGGACTTTCGGTGGGATGGTTGTGGGTATGATGCACATGCTGGATTTGTTCTGTGCAGTTCAGCCGAATCGTCTCACAGTGCTGACTAGTTGTAGTGTCCTCCTGCGCTTAGTGTGCAGATACCTGCTGTTGTTGCCGTCGTCGTCTCGTCCCTCGTGCTGGGCTGGGGTGCGAACATCACTCCCGCTTCCACTGCCACCAGGGTCACCATTGAGCATGACGGCAGATAGTGCAAATTAGGTCCGCACTCACTGGTTTCGACGCCCATCTTTCGGCCAGTCGTCCAGCCATCTTGTCTGTGCTCGCCAGGCTCGGAGGCCGACTTGCCCGTTCTTAGTTTGTCGCGCATAGGAAGAGGAAGCAAGTCGGAGACATTTGGTCTGAGTTCCCACCTGTTCCCTCCCTCTCGTTTGAAGGGGCCCTGGGACACACAAATAAATACACACAAATACAAAGATTCCCCATATTTTCCCATATTTTCTGGGTTTTTGTCTTCCCCACCACTTCCCATATTTTCCTATTTTTTGGGGGGGAATCGAGGACTCATTGTGTCTGTGTGTTTTTTCCCCTCCTGATCGTTGCATACTTTCTCCCTCCCTCCCGCCCCTTCCCGAGAGGTCGAGCGCCCAGGCCACGGCGGTCGTCCCTCCGTGAGCTCTCGTGCCAGCCTGTCTACCCGGGAGCCACCCGTCGCCGCCGCCGTGAGCCGATGCCGGCCACGCTGCTCGATGTGGAGGTGGGGGGGGCTCAGGAGAGCGGAGAGCGGAGGATGTGGGTTGGATTTGATCCTTTCCTAGCCTCGGCGCTTCGGGACGACGCGCCCCATCGGCGTCGTCACTGAAGCTCCTTTGTACTGCTCTTAGAGCTCTGTCTTGGCGCCCGTGCCGAATGTACACACCAGTGTTTTCTTCAGTCAGAGCCTGCTGTGCATTGTTTGGGGTCCAACTCCGGTTTCATTTGGCGAGTTGAGTGCCGCTGTTTCCCCTGACCAGCCAGCGATTGAATCAGATACGATATCCAAAAAAACCCTCGCCCATGCCTCCACTCACGCATCTCAGCAACGTCGGCGATAGATCAGCGCCGTCGGCGTCGATGAATCGGGCTCCACATCGAGCCGCACCGCCGATACATCGGCGATGAGGCGCGACCCTCAGAGCATACCTACTGGGACCCACGCGGGAGGCATGCAGCCCATCAGGGCCCTGCAGACAAGGACTTGTTGATAAACCCGGCCTGTGGCGCGCCCGAGAAAACTACAGCTGTTGGTGGCAACACTCCATTTCGTCGGTCTCTCCAGGTCAAATGCTCAAAGTCCTGGCTGGCACTGGTGCAGAGGGCCCTGAGCCCCCCGTACACCCCTGGCGGCCAGCCACCCGTGGAGGCCTGGGAATGAGCACCAACACCAACACAGGGGCTGCCTCCACCCGGGGAAAATGATCCTGGATGTTCGTGCTGGTGGTACTCTGCCGGCCACCCAGGAAGCCCGAGCATCACAGCGACCAGCGACATCCGGATCGCCTTCCAGTGCTGGAGGCACACCGCCGATGTCGGTGCTGGTGTCTACCTCCAGGCCTCCGAAACTCGGGAGCGGCCAAGAGGGGGGTGTCCAAGAAGGGGGGGTGCACATCATGACCGGCGGCATTTGCGCGGCCCAGCGGGGGGACCAAGGACGCAGTGAAAGAAAAAGAGGCGCCGTGAAATCCGAGGAAGAACCATGGCCCGCGCCACGAAACCCACCCCCCCTAGTCATCACCCCCCTCTTTGCCGCCCCCGAGAATAGGGGAGCAAAAAGTGGCATAAACATAAAAACCCGGAGGTCCGCCCAGATTTCTCGGATCGGCGCTGGGGCCCCCCGGCGGCGCCTCCGGCGCCGCCCCTGGCGCGCTCCGCGCGCCAGGGGGCGGGGGTCCCAGCGCCGATCCGAGAAATCCGCGCGGACCTCCGAGTTTTTACGTTTAGGCCACTTGCTGTTCCCCCCCTATGGAGAGGCCCTGCCCCCCTCCCGGCAGGCACGCGCACGCCCGGCACCGCGGCGCACGCTGCGCCGCGCTCCCTGGGGGGGGCGGCAGGCCCCGACTCCCCAACGGCTCGGCGCTCCTCGGGGCGCCGACCCCCTTTTGGACCCTCTCGGGCCTCGGGCCCCCGGGCGCGGGCCCTCGCGCCCCGAGACGGCCAAGACGACGGCCGTGGGGCCCAAGAGCCGAAAGCCGAAGAGAGCGAAAAAACACCTCCAGCGCCTTCTCTCTGTCGGGTCGCCAGGAAGGGCCGGAACTGCCCCGACGATGGGCAATCTCGGCTTCTCGACCTCTGCTGACCTCTGGCCGTTCGCAGGCCCCACTGGAGAGCCACCAGCGAGCCCCGCTGGAGCTACCAGCGAGCCTTCGCAAAGAGAGGGCTCAGGGCGCGATGAGCGCCACCTGCTCCAAAACAGCTGCGGCCACATGTCGGCGTGCGGATTGCAACTCCCTCTCACCCTCCGCCGGCCTGTACAGCGCTGCGGACAGGCGGCAGGGCTTGCAAAAAGCTTTCGCCACGGGAGATCCGGCGAGCTCACAGGTGCATCGACGCCGTGGGAATGATGTGCAGTAGCTGACTCAAGACGTGGGCGATTATTGCTGTTATGCGCGGCCCACCAGTCTGCTAAGCGCTTTCCACGCTCCAGGATGCTCCCCACAGCTTCCTCCTACTCTTCTTGGAATTGGCTCCTGCTTCCTCTGGGAGGACCCTACTCCCACGGCGCAACCCCGACCCCCGCACCACCCAGGAGTAGGCTCCTACTCCCCTTGGAGTAGGCTCCTACTCCCCTGGGGGTATGCTCCTGCTCCCCACGGGACGGCGCCGACCCGTCCCACGTCCCACCCCAGAGTAGGCTCCTACTCTCCAGGGAGCAGGCTCCTACTCCCAGGCCTGCTCCCCACGGGGCGGCGACACCCCGTTCCCCGTCCCACCCGGGAGTAGGCTCCTACTCCTGAAAGTAGGCCCCCCGGGAGTGGGCTCCTACTCCACTGGGAGTAAGCTCCTACTCCCAGGAGTATGCTCGCACTCCCCGGGGGCAGGTTCCGACCCTCGGGGGAGTCCTTCTGCTCCCCTGGGAGGAGGCGGCGCCACCCTGTCCCCCGTCCCACCTGGGAGTAGGCTCCTGGCTCCCTCCTCCTCCTCCTCTTCCTCCTCCTCCTCCTCCTCCTCCTCCTCCTCCTCCTCCTCCTCCTCCTCCTCCCCCTCCTCCCCCTCCTCCCCCTCCTCCTCCTCCTCCTCCTCCTCCTCCTCCTCCTCCTCCTCCTCCTCCTCCTCCTCCTCCTCCTCCTCCTCCTCCTCCTCCAGGCTCCTGCCCCCCAGGAGCAGGCCCCTGCTTCCCAGGCAGCAGCAGCCCGCTCCAGGGAGCCGACTCCTGCTCTCCAGAGCGTAGGCCCCCCCTCCCCGAGGAGCCGGCTTGTGATGTCCTCCCCCGGAGTATAGGCCCGAGGAGCAGCCCCTACTCTTTGGAGCGCTCCGGGGCTCCCCACGGGACGGCGCCGTCCAGAGATAGGCCCCTACTCTCCAGGGGAGTATAGGCCCCTATGCTCCTGGGAGTGTGCTCCGACCCCCCTTTGGGAGTAGGCGCCTACTACCCCCGGGAGTGGGAGCCTTATCCCTGGGAGTAGTGGCTCCTGCTCCTCTGGGGGCAGATTCCTGCTCCCGGGGGAGTGGCTCCTACTCCCTGGAGCAGGCTCCTACTCGGCTACTACTCCCCTGGGAGGAAGCCTGCTCCCCACGGGACGGCGCCACCCCGTCATCCGTCCCACCCCGGAGTAGGCTCCTACTCCCCCAGGAACCCCGTGGGAGTAGGTTCCTACTCACGGGAGTTTGGGAGCCGAATGCGGGGGGCGAAATGCTCTTCTCCCATCGCATTCCGAATTTCGTCCCCCCGACCATGAATACTACTCTCCTCTTTCCCCTGCTTTTGTCCGGAAGATGCTCGGCCCTCTCCGCGCACTGCTTTTGAAACACAGGATTTCAACGGGTGGTGTTTCCTACGTGTTGTGTACACTCGGATTGCCTTCGGTGTTTCAAGAGGGTGTTCCCGCTGCAGCGCGGGCCTCACTTTCGGATCGGCGCTGTGCTCCGTCATTCAGAATGGCGCTCTCGCCCTGGCGCGGGACCCTGATCTGGATCCGTATCCGTTTTCATCGTCGGCGCCCCCCTCATTTCCTCATCTCCCCACATCTGCCTTTTCCTGGTTCTCCTGAACCTCCCACTCCTTCTACTCCAAGTCCTGCTGCTGCTGCTCTTCCTCCTCCTCCTTTTCCTCAATGTCCTCCTCCTCCTGCTGCTCCTCCTCCTCCTCCTCCTGCTGCTCCTCCTCCTGCTCCTCTTCCTCCTCCTCCTCCTCATCAACATCATCATCATCATCATCATCATCATCATCATCATCATCATCATCATCATCATCATCATCATCATCATCATCATCATCATCATCATCATCATCATCATCATCATCATCATCATCATCATCATTCTCCTGCTAATGCTCCTGCTCCTCCTCCTCCTCCTCATCCTCATGGCTCAAGGTTCCAAAGCGGAGCGAATTGCGAACTCTCCGGCTGGTCGGCCACCCGCCATGGGGGTGGGGGCATTTTTTCTAATTAACCTTGTCCCGCCCGCCCGCCCGCCCGCCCCAGGGCCGCAGATGCATGGCCACGCCGTCCCCGTGGAGCCGGGCGTCGGCGTGCCGGTGCCGAGTGACACCGAGAGCGGTGATGATGTCGTCGTGCATCGTGGCCGTCGGAACGCTCGGGCCCTCCTCCTCTGCATGCAGCTCCCATTATCCGATTGCGCATGACACGATGGGGTATGTTTTGGAACACGCGTCCACCAGTGGATGTAGAAAATGAGCGCAATTGGAAGGGACGGAGGCGAAGGGATTAGACAACAGATCTGGCGCGAGCGCACATAGCTTGCCCCTCCCTCTCTTCTCCTCCCCGCCCCCTGCCTTCACATCCTGGTCCGTCCCTCCTTCCCTGACCCCTCATCCCCCCTCTTCGGACCACCCCCCTTCCTTCGCCTCCCTCTCTCCAACTCCTTCCTCTCTCCGTCCATCGCTCCCTGCTTCCCTTCTGGCACCACCACCTCTGAAGCGGCTGTCCCTGCCTCCCCCCCTTCAATCCCATTCTCCTTTCCCCGCCGACCAGCACATTCCCCTCCTCTGATATTCCTTCCCACCCTCTGGGCTCTCCTTCTCAGAATCGGCTTCAGACCTCTCCTGCGCGTTCTGGCCTGAATTCCGACGCGAACCCATACGTGTCCCAAGCATAAGGCTTAACAGAGCTAACCAGGCCTTAACAGGGCTCAGCAAGGCTTACCAAGGCTTAGCAGGGCTCAGTAGAGCCTACCAAGGCTGAGCAGAGAGTGGCAAGGGTTATCAAGGTTTTGGGGCGTGCCAGGGCTTTCATCAGGGCTGAACAAGGTTTTGCAGAGCTTAGCAGGGCTGAGCAAAGCTTAGCAGGGCTTTGCACGGTTTAGCAGGGCTGACACATGCTTACCAGAACGTTGCAGGGATCACCAGAGCTTGGCAGAGCTCAGCAAGGCTGGGCATGGCTTAGCAAAGCTCAAGGGCTTACCAGGGGAGCACCAAAGCTGAGCAAGGCGTAGCATATATTACCAGGGCGTTCCAGGGCTCACCAGGGATGAGCAGGCAAAGATGGCAAACTAGTGGCAGGCTGAGCTGACTAGTGAAGATACTCGCAAACTGATGACATAGCTTAAGAGGGTGAGGAGAGAGAGACAAAGAGAGAAAGAGAGAGAGAGAGAGAGATTGAGAGAGAAGCTTGATGATGAAGAAATGTGGAAAAACCACGAAAACTCCTCTGGAACACAGAGGTACTCCACAATCCCCCGGCCTCGACCAGAATGGAGGGGGGGGGGAGGGGGAGCAGGAGGTAGCCTCGATCCTCGAACATCGACCGCTAGGCAGAGGGGGATGGGGGGGCTGATGCCATCCACTAAAAGTTCGGGGGCGGCTAGCGAGCGTGCCCGCGTGCGCGCACGGACTCATCATCCTCCGCGCGCTTCATCGGGCGTCGGCAGCCTCCCTGGCTGCAAAGGCAAAAAAGGGGTGTGGCAGAATGCTCTCCGCCACCGCGCCTGCGCAATAGCGGCGTGTCAGGATGCTGGCTGGTCGCCCGACAGGGCTTTCTGTGCTTCTTCCAGGGCATCCCCCAGGTAGCAGTGCTCGCCCTCCGAAAGCCCCTCCCCCCAGATTGCTTTCTGGTGCCCTTCTCGGCCTCTGGACGGCTCCAAGCCAAAATGGCCTAATCACTGGATCAATGGACCACTCAACCTGATCAGCCAGATCATCCAGATCAACTGGATCACCCGGATCAACCGGATCAACCAAATCAACCCGATCAGCCGGATAAACCCAATCAACCGCATCACCTGGATCAGCCAGACCAAACGGACCGACCGAATCAGCCGGATCATCCGGATCACCAAATCAGCCAGATCACCGGGTCTGCCAGTTCACCAGATCCCAGAGACTCCCAACTGCTTAAATCGCAGTGGCTCGCTAAGATATTCTAGTTTTAGCTTGCCATGCTGAGCTAGTTTAGCTTCAGCTGCTGAAGTCAAATGCATTGACATAACTATATATATACACACACGATCATCCTGTCTGATCACCAGATCACCAGATTAGCGGATCGCTTGAGCTACCAAGTTTGGAAAAAAACAATGGTTCAGATACACTCTGCTTTCCAGCCTCAGATCGGTGCGGAAAAGATTTAGAGAGCCCCGAGAGGCGCCAAAGACGGCCATGACAATCTCAAGAAATTTCCAAGACGGCCCAATACATCCGCACACACGTTCCAAGATGGCGCAACCGAGCATCTAGGAAAGCTCGGTAGAGCCATTCGCCCAAAGCGGTCGCGAGACCCCCAACAGGCACCTAACGTGCCTCTCGAGGCCATGAGAGACCCCCAAGAGGTCCAGAAGAAGCCCCGAAGAAACCTCAAATCCGCCACTGTGCCTTCGGCACGCTGGGGCATGTTAGAATCCTTGTCTGTTGTCTGGTAACCTGGGCAAGCACTGAAACGGAAAGAGCACTTGAGGACTCATGGCACCGTTCGCTTCTTGGAGCCTTGGCGTACGGAGCTGTTTCACGTCACCGTTCGCTCTTGGGAGCCTTGGCGTGAACAGCTGTGTTACGTCACCGTTCGCTATTGGAAGCCGTGATGTAAATAATTGTGTACGTCACCACTCACGGAATTAAGAGCTGGTTACTTCACCGCTCGCTCTTGGGAGCCTTGGCGTGAAGAGCTATTCACATCGCCGTTCGCTCTTGAGAGCCTTGGCGTTAAGAGCTTTCTCCGACACTGTTCGCTCTTGAACTCTTGGCGGCCAAAGCTGACCACTTCATGGACTCGTGTAAAAAAGTGTTTCGATCACTTGGTGCTCTTGGGAGCCTTGGCGTCAAACCTGCGTCTGTCCCGTCTTGAGGCCCTCTGGTGCCCGCGTCGGCCCTCTTGAGGGCCGCCTCCGGCATTCTTGGGGATATGTTGAGCCGTCTTGAGGCTCTCTATGGCCGCCCTGGGGCCCTCGTGGGCAGTCGTGGGGCTCTACTGGGAACCTCGTTGGCCGCCTTGGGCCAGTCCGAAGAAGGCGAGAACCCCCAAAATCACTGACGTGCATGAGGTAATCAATGCGTCTTGTCTCCTCAATCCTTCCTGGCGGCCCTCTTGGGGGCCTTTTTCTGCCCGTCCCGGGGGGCCTTTTCGGCCGTCTTGAGGGGCTGGGGTCGGCGTGGGGCCCTCTGGCCCTCTTGGGGTAATATGTGGGGCCTCTCGAGTAGCCCTCCCCGGCTCTCAGGGGGAGCCTCTTGTGGCCTTGAGACTCTCGGTGGCCGTCTTGGAGCCCTGGGCAATCCTAGGGCAATCTCGTGGCCCTCCTCGGCTCTCGTGGGAGCCTCTTGTGGCCTTGAGACTCTCGGTGGCCGTCTTGGAGCCCTGGACAATCCTAGGGCAGTCTCGGAGTCGATCACAGCCGTCTTCGGCCGATCTGGGCCCGAAAAGGCGAGAACCCACAAATCAGCGAAACACATTGCAAACTCGATGGTTTTTGCCTCCTCTGGTCGTCTTGGAGGTCTTCTTGGTGGCCTTTGGGGCCGTCCTTGGGGCCTCTTGGGCCGTCTTCGGGCGTGAGCCGTCTTGGGGCCCCCCTCTTTGGGCCTCCTCTGGCCCACTTGTGCTCTCTTGGACGCCTCCTGGGGCTCTGTTGGGCCCCTATTCGGGCTCTCTTGGGCCCTCTTGGGCACTCTTGCGGCGATATGTGGGTCTCGTGTGCCGTCTGCAGCCGTCTGAATGAACCCCGAGAAGGCGAGGCCCAAGAAAACCTTCAAACGCAAAAGACAACTCAAGACCCCCGGCCTCACACGGCCCTCTTGGGCATCCTCTCGAAGGCTCCTTGGGCCGCGTCAGGGCCCTCCGAGACCGTCTGGAGGCCACCGTTCGACCTTCCCGCCAGCGCGTGCAGCCGTGCGCACCGCTCGACTGCCTCGTTGGAACGCTCTTGTGCGGTGTTGGGCTCTGGGAGCGCTCGTCGGCCGGCTTGGAGCGCCCGTGGCGCTCTACGGCACCGTCTTGGGGGCCTCTTGGGCCGTCCTTGGCACCCAGGTCGGTCGCCCTGGGGCCGGACGGGCGGGCTAGGCCGATGTCTCCCAGCTTCGCCCCTCCCCTTGGAACCCCTTCCCTTAGAGGGCTGCGCCCCACCAGGAGCGTCATCACTCGGACCTCTCTCTGTCCGTCACTCGTGATCCGGTAGAGGGAAACAATTAGTGAACACCCCCCCTGCCCCCCAAACTCAAGGTTGGCACGCGCGGGGGAGAGTGCGGTCGAGGTGCAACTCATCACACCCACCGCCAAGTTTGAACATTGGGGGGAGGGGGAGTCGTTGACGGATGAATGTGGCATGTATTCGCTAATTTGTTCCGAGGCCTGTCCGTTTCATCAGGCCGCCGCCCTCCCCCTGTGCCGCAACCCGCTCCAAACCCGCATGGTGGCGTTCTCTGGCTCCGCGTTCGGCCTCCGAGTGGCTCCAAGAGAACGGCTACACGACGCCCCGAGACCGTCCGACGACCAAACTCCAAAAGAGGCCTCCGAATTAGGAGGTTACCAGAGGCGAAAGTGGTCGAACAGCACACGGAAGATCAATGTGTGTGTGTTGCGTCCGATGCTTTTCGGCTCCAGAGCGACTCGGGAAACCCCTCAGCTCGAAGCCAGAAGAGGCAGCACGATTGAAGCAGACAGAGGAAGACCAATGCGGTTGCTTCTGGTACCTGTCGGCTTCAGAACAACTCAGTACATCGGGAAACCTTCAGAGAGCGCCAAGAAGCTCCTAAGACAGCCCAAAACAGCCCCCAGAGCGCACCAAGCCAGCCCCAAGACAGCCCCAAGACCGCCCGAGAAACCGCCAAAACGACACAAGAGGGCTTTTGAACGACACCAAGACCTGCCCAAACGTCCCAGAGATGGTTCCACCGGCTCTGTTCGGGGGAGCTCTGTGGAACCACCGCGCCCGAGACGACACCCGGACCAGGTCGTAAATTCATCCATCATCCTTTCTGCTGCGCTGCTCCGGGGCACGCTGGCCAGGATTGCCTCGGGCAACTGGATCTGAAGATGGGGGGGAGAGTGAGGCTGCGGACAAAGCAGGGGGTGTCGAAGACCCGCGACAGTTTAGGCAGGGCTCGGGACGGGAGCGGGTCTGAAAACCAACCTCGTCCAGTCTACGGTGCTTCGCTGGCGCGAGGGGCGGGGTTTGCCGCAGGCAGCTGGGCATGGAGCTGAAGTGCTCCGCGTCCTCCGACACCCGCCTGTCAGCCTGGTAGCGTTGGGGCCAGTCCTGTCTTGGCTAAGCCCCTGGCCGCAAAAAAAACGCACGCCCTCGCGACAGAAGGCCCTAACCAACTCTACATAGTTGCCGTGGGGGCCACGATGGGGGGTCACGATGGGGGGGCCATGATAGGAGGGATCGGCATAGGGATAGGGATATAGGGCTAGGAATCTAGGGAGAGGGTTATAGGGATAGGGATAGGGATGGGAATGGGGACAGGGTTATCTGTGGGGATCTAGATAGGGATAGGGATATAGGAATACAGGGAGAAAGGGATAGAGGGTATATAGAGGGATAGGGACAGGGATGGCAATTGAAGGCCACGGGAGGCAGCGGGAGGCAACGTCGCCCACACGATTTCGGATCTGACAGCGCACCTGCGAGCTTCTCAGAAGACATGCGTATGACCCTCACGGAAGAGCTGCTTAGGGAATGCCCGTGCCCCGCCTGTACAGCATCGATCCTCGCTGCGGGCAGCGGGACCTGTAGACCGCTCTCGAGGGTGCCACTGCGCCCCGAAGAGGAGGATGGAGGAGGAAGAGGAAGAAAGGAGGGAGAAGAGCGAGCGGGCGACTGTGGCCCACTGGACTGAAACGAAGACGTGGGCGAACACCGTGGAGCTTGAAGCTCCACGCCGCTGCTCTCGAGGTGGACGAAGTGTGGGGAGGGGGCAGGCGGGACTCAGCGAACCCGCTAGACACAGGAACAAGGAAACGCGACACCACCATCACCTGGGACCCCCAGCAGGTGGAGCCAGGCGGGGTCCCCCTGGTGGTGTGGTACCCCTTCTCGCTCGAGACATATCCTGTCCCCAGCTCGGGAAGGCATCGTGGACATCCTTGCTGGTGGTGCCCTCCCCGGTGGTGGTGGTGTCGTACATGCAGCTGGTCTGCCGGACGCCCCAAGGCTCCGGGAGCAACCGTGCGTCGAGGAAAGTGCCTGCCGGTGGAGCCGGAAGGGGCCGCATACAGCAATCCCAGACCCCGACACCATAACTTGTTCACAACTTCGACCCAGAAGTATCGAGCCATTCGCTGGCACCGCTTTGCAGTCCTGAATTATCGAATGACGGTCCCGAGGCCCTGTAAAGGCCCCCAAAGGCCGAAAAGAGCGAGAAACCTTCTGTCATCATTTGTCATGCCTCGAGGGGGTCTGGGATCGTCGCAGTCCCCCTTGCCACGTCCCACTCCGCCTGTCGGGCCGCCCGCCCTTCTCGGCGTCTGCCACCGACCGAAGGGAACCGTCGCAGCTGTCGGCCTGGTCAGCCGCACAACATGAAGCGACGGCGCACGACAACATGTTCTCCGTGTGGAGGGGCAGTCGAGCGGCCCGCTGAGCAAATTTGAGGACATGGACGGATGGAGTCGTCGGGGGGGGGCCCAGGAGGGCCCCAAGACGGGCCCAAGATGGGAAACTCGAGCTGCGATTTCGAGCCCTCCGCCCCAAAGGGTTTCTGAGATCGCCAGTAAGCCCCTAGGAAGTCCCGAAGAGGCCACAAGAGGCCCGGAAGAAGCGCAAGGAGGCCCCAAAACGGCCCCCTTCTGAGCCCCCAAGAGGCTTCAAAGCTGGCTCCAAAAGATTCCCCAGAGGCTTCCCAAGAGACCCCAACAAGCATAAAAGAGGCCACTGACCCACGACCCAGGTACGGTGGCGGGATGGGCGGAAGGCCACTAGGTACATACAGTCGTCGGTCTACTGAGCGTCTCGGCCTCAGGCCATTGGCCGACGAGCTCTGGCAGGCCTTATTCGGCGGAGGAGGAGGAGGAGGAGGAGGAGGAGGAGGAGGAGAAGGAGGACGATGATGATGAGGAGGAGGAGGAAGAGGAGGAAGAGGAGGAGGAGGAAAAGGAGGTCTCCGTGTTCAAGCTTGGGTGTTCGGTTTGCGCTGTGGGGGGGGGGGGGGGGGCGAAGCTGACGACTGACAGCCAACGTTTATCGGTTCCCCGCTGCCTCAGGCCGCTTGCCTCCCGAGGCCGACTGTGCTCGACGCTTCTGGGGTGCCCTGGGCCAAAGTGAGATACATGCGAGCCTGCCGCCTGGACCGTCCATCACGGTAAGACACCACTGCGCAAAGATACCCCGAACAGTCTGCACTTAGAGGGAACAGCACTCTTTATTGGAATGGATTGCCCCCGTGGGCCAGGGTTTGGACGCGCTCTCGTCTGTTCTCGGTGGCCCCCGCCCCGTCATCGCTGGAACCCCCTTCGTGGGATCCTACTGTCGGGGTTTCACACGACGGGGTCCCACACGGCAGGGTTCCACACGATCTGCTCCCGATCGATGAAATATCACCAGACACGTCTCGCGCGGCAGGGCCCCACCCGATAGGGCCCCTCACCGACAGGTCCCACACCACGGCGCCCCATCCAAGAAAATGCTCGACGCGATAGGGTCGCTCACGATAACGTCCGACGCGGCGGGGCCCCACGCGACAGGGGTTCCGACACGACAGGGCCCCTCGCGACAGGGTCCAACACCGGAGGGCCCCAAGGATCGCACACTGAGGACCCTCGATCGGACTGCATCCGCCACCGCGCCGCGAGGCACGAAGTGGGGCGCCGCTGAGTAGAAAGAGGTAGGCGTCCTGGTGGCGTTGTCCCTGATCACAGAGATGGAAGCCGGCTGAAGTGTCAAGGCCTCATGGAGGTCGGCTCGCGGCCAAAGAGCCGCGCGCCCAAGAATTCGGAAGCCGTGGAGGTTCAAGGGCAGGATGCTCGCGTCCGCAGAGCCGCGCGGCGCGCCGGCACGAGCCGGGCGCCGCCCGTCAGCCTGCATCTGGGGGTCTGCCCGGGAACGGGGCGCCCCGCGACCCGCTCCGCTGCTCGGCCGTGGCCTCGCACACCGCAGTGCCGACAAGGCAGGCTGCGATCTGCATCTGCGCTCGCCGCCAGGGGCTTGGGTCAGCGCGGAGCGTGGCCCAGCCAATCTTGGAGCTGACCCGCGGCTGGCGGGCCCACCGCTCCGAGGCGATTCCGACGGCGGCCCCGAGCCTCGCGCGCTCGCCGGCGACGCGGGCGCACTCGGCCCACTAGTGGCGAGCCAACGCCTGCGCGCGGGGGCGGGGGCGCCAGGGGCACCGCTGTCCCTCTTCACCGTGGCACCACCGGCGCGTGCAGGTCCACGCAGATCCACCTCGCCATATGGACAGCAAGGCGCGGCGCTGCCTGCTGAGGCCTCTTCGCCATTCCGCCCACTCGGGCGCGGACGACGCCTCGATGTCCACCGCCTCGATGGACTCCTCGTCCAGCCGGCGCCGCGACGGTGCAACTGGCTGCAGCAGCGCCGCCCTCGCGCAGACCCGCAAGACGTGCTGGCCGCGTTCGCTGCTGGCGTCGAAAAGCACGTTGGCCGGCGCGGCCGCCCTGGCCGCTGTCGCGACCCGTCGTGGTCGCGCGCCGGGCGCAACCAAATCCCGCGGCCGCCAGCGCCCCAGACTGGGACAAGCCTCAAACTCCGGCGCGCGCTGCGACAGCGGCCCGCAGGAGCGGCGATTCAGGCAGGCCCGCGGCCGCGCGCAAGGCGTGGATGGCCGCGCTACACTGAGGGCGCGCGGCCACACTGTCCGCCCAGAAGCGGCGCTGGCACCGCCACGAACACCGCGCGTTGGCGATGGCGCTGAACGCGCTCGCCACCAGGGGCGGGCGGCTCCTCGACGAACGGGGCCGCCCACCGGCGCGTGCTCGAGACGCAGATGACACGAGCCTTCGGCGCACCTCGACGCCGCCCGAAGTGTCCGCAGCGTGTCCGCGAGGGTCGCGACTCTGTCCCAGCCGCCCCGCGGGGGAGGCCTCCCCCGCGGGGCGGCGCCCGCCCGAATCCCAAGGTGCTCGGCTGCGCCGTCGTCGCGCCAGCGCAGCCGCTTCTCGAGGTTCTCGGCGACGCCCGCGCGGGAGTCACGAGCGGCCGCCAGTGCCAAGGCGTCGTCAACCACCTCCTGGTTGGCGCGCCCAGCGGCGGCAGCCCCCATGAGGGGCTGGCCGCCCACGCGTGCCCAGGATTGCGCGCCAGGGCACTGCCCGCAAATCGCGCGGCGCCACGGAACGCGCGCAGCACCCAGGACGCGAGCGCTCGCCGGATCGCTAGCCGGGAGCCCCGCCGTCGGCGAGATCGGCTCCGCGAGGGCGCCAGCAGAACCGCAGAGCGCACCAGGCTCGCATCGCGCGGACGACCGCGGGCTCGGGGGGCCGAGGTGGCGGAGGGAGGCCGCTGCGGCGTCGCGCGCGATCGCGTCGTGCGACGTAGGCCTTGGACATGTCCAAGGCCGACGCAGGCCTTGGACACGTCGACCTCCGCGCCCGCCTTGCCCGGAACCGCCGCCCAGGCGGCCGTGCTCCGGACGGCGCCTTGCCCCGCCCACCGCTCCGGCTCGGGCTCGGGCAATTCGGCGCAGAGGACCGCGCGCCAGGCCCGGGCCAAAACCGACCCCGCGCCGATAGGGCGGCCATCGTCGCACCCTCTCTCCGGGGCTCCGACGACGCGCCAGGCGCAGAGAGCCCGGCGGTCTGCCTACGACCAGCCCCCCTGAGTCGCCGAGCGGGCCGCCGCCGTGAGGGCAAGCAAATCTGCGAGCAGCCGCGGCAGGTGGTCGGCCACGGCACGGAGCTCAGAAGCCCCCCGCCCGTCGAGCCTGGACGAGCGGCGGGCGCCGCGGGCCGCATCGAGGAAGTCGCCCAGCGACGGTGGCCCCCAGCCCCGCGGCGGGCGAGCAGGGAGTTCGACCTCGGCCGCGAGCGCCTGCAAGGCGCGCCCCCGCTGCTGCGGCGAGTCGCCCGCCGCGGGGCACGGGTCCCAATGCTTGGTCCA